CTTTCATCTGCTGCCACAGCCAGCTTGGAAATCGTTCTGGGTGACTTCTCAGGCAGGCGGAGCATGCTGCAGGCTAGTGTTGACCCTTCTGTGGAGCCACTTCTCTGTCTCCCAGGGACTCAGTGGTGACACCCTGGACCCCTGAGGCCCCATCAGCCCCCCACACATGGAGAAGCAAAGTTGGAGCGGCTGCCAAGTCCAGCTCATGATAGCTTTAGTTTTTGTGTTCTTTTCTCTGAAACAGTCTTGTGAAGATGTTGTAGAAACAAATGCAAAGAAAGGAAGTCTCTGGCTGACGGACAGTGGAGGAGAGCACTAATCCCCACTCACCACCTTGCTCTCCCTTCCTGTTCACAAGCAGCATCTGCTCTCCCTCCACTAGGAGCCACAACAGCAACGTGGGGGGTGTTATGGTGACTGCTTATCATTTATGAGGCCAGTGGTGGAGGTGGCTAAGGTGTCCCACCATGTGTCTCACAGGAAAGGGGACTTTAGCAGGCATTGCTCCCATAACAGTTGGGTTGAGTTACGCGGCCATCCTCTTTGCGTATTGGCAGATCTGCCCATGGCTGACCTGCCTTGTGCAGAATGCCGCTGAGTGCTGATGGAGTGGCTGTGATTCCCAGCGTAGGACCTTGACTCTAAAGGGGGTTGCCACAGCCCAAACCCCTGCTCCAGGGAAAGTGAGATTCAGGTGACGCCCTCACGCCTGCTGCTCTGTCCCTTGTAGTCAGGGACTTTGTACCCCCCTGTAAGGGGCTTGACCTGATCTATCCTCCCCCACCCTGCCATAATGGGGCACCTCAGAGTACTTCCTGGGAAAAATCTTTCTGCTTCCTAAAGGCATCTCATTGCCCAGGCACCTGAAACAGACATCACAGACTGGGTGAGTTCAGATAGAAATTGCTGTCCTCACAGAGTCAGTCTGAGGTCAAGGTGTCTTTTTCTGAGACCTCCGCCTCAGACCTGGTAGTGGCTGCCTCACCCTGTGTCTTTTGGGTCTTCCCCCATCTGTATCCTAATTTCCCTTTCTCTCAGAAGACATCAGTCATGTTGCATGAAGCTCCATCCCAAGGACCTCAGTTTTACGGTAATCGTCTTCTTGCACAGCCTATCCTCCTGGGCCTAGTGACAGTCTGAAGTCCTGGAGGGTTGGGATTTCAAACAGGAGTTTTAGGTGGAGAAGGTGCAATTCAGCTGATGATGCAACCACTTCACTCCAAGCTGCTATAGTTTGTTGTATCCTCTTCCTTCTCATAGTTGCCCCCAGACAGTAGGTGACTGCAGGTACTTTGAAAGTGGCTTGCTATAAACCAGTCCTCTGTAGTTGAAAGAAATGGAAAGATGATGAGACCCAGGGATCATGAATCCTGTGTCACCAAAGCCATCTTCCCTGCCCCAGGAGACACCTGTTTTCTATTTGAGGCTTTGGTCCTAACTAAATTCCAGCAGAGAATGCCAGTGCTGGCCTACTCAGCTAGACCTGGCCATGCAGAGCAGGGAGGAGCTGGGCTTACCTCCAATAAGTAAATCTTGCTGGGTGCTTCATGAACACATGGTATTCCAGATACCAGATACTTTCTAAAAAAAGACAAGAAGGGAAAGAGAAGAGGAAGGAAAAGGAGAAGGATTTAACAAAACGTCCCATCCTCCGTTCCATTTTAGCATAACAATCATATTCACACTCTAAAATGTAGGGCAGACATCATCTCAGAGCACACAAGAGTTCTTCGCATAAGAAACATTCAGCTTTACAAATACCATACTCTCATTTCTCTGTAAGCCAGGAACTTCATTACAAAAAGTTATCATCTGAGCTTAGCTCTGAAGGCAATTGGAGAGAGGTTGGAGCAGGTCTAGAGAAGACTCCATGAAAAAAGATGGAATTACTAATCTGGAAAGTACACAAGTGTTTGAGGTAGCAGCAGATGGTTTGGAATTCTGGTGACAGCAAATACTTTATGTGACCTTGAGAAACACATATGATCTCACAGTGTGGGAGCTTTCTGCCTTCCTCACCTGGGTAATGGAGTGTTCATTTACCTTGTTGACTGTGAGGACAGAATTAGGGAGTTCTTGATTGATATTAGATAACCTCTTTTCTCTCCTGGAATCTGCAAAGCATAATGATTTTTCTTCCCTTTACTACAGTGACCCCAGATACATGAGTGGTCGTTATTAAATAGCTGCCAATCTGAAGAAGCCACAAAGCCTCAGTAGGCACCCCAGATAGCAGACACTGCAGGTAACCACCCACTGCCATGCTCCTTTGCAGTCCCATCAGCGCCGGAGATGGATCTCATTTCACAAAGTTTTAACAAGAAACACATTCTCATCTGGATGCTAATTAGCTGAAATTAATTGACATCAGAGCTGGGAGAGATTGACTGCCAGCTGAAAGATTCCTTTCATTTTTTATGCTTTCTTGTCTATTGTTTTCCTCAATAAGAAGCAGATCACATTTTTGGAATAATATTTTTTCCTTTAGATTTATTGTTTCTCTTGCCTTAAATTGGAGGAGATTTTAAGCATGTTTGTGCACTGAGTGGCAGGAGCCAAGAGAGCTTGACTAGCAGATGGAGTAAGACCTTGGCACAAGTAGGACTTACCAGGATTCATAGACAAATGAAAGGATCTCCACTGCTGCCATGTGGTTTACACAGCCATTCCCCAAAGGGAAAATGATATCTTCAAGGAAAAAGCAATCACACAATAATCACAGATTTGGCCGCCCAGAATCCATTGATCCAGGTTCTCCTCCAGCGCATTAGGGAAAGGAGTTATGTCTGACTGTCTGTACATCTTCCAAACCCCAAACTGTGCACATGGAAAATACTCATAAATAACAGCTCTCCCAACACCGACATGTTGTAGTAGGTTCCCTTTGTCAGATTGAAAAGCAAAATCCATTTGCTACGCAGTCACCCACGCTTCTGTATGTATGCATTTATAACAAGAACATTGAGTGTGGGCTCCTATTCCCACTGTCCTTGGCTGTTAGAAACTTGGATCTTTAAGAATGGCAGACAGCTCGGTCCTCATTGGCCTGGTTTGAATGCTGTGTCACTGCTGTCAAATTTGGAAATCAGGCAGATTGTTTGGCCTCTCTGTACCTGTTTCTTTGACAGAAGGGGAATGATAACATAGCAGTGCATGTCAGAGAACTGAAGTGACAATTACATGCATTAACATTTTGCACAAACTATAAAACTCTCTTAGACTCATGAAAAGCACTATAATACATGTACCTGTTGAAGCAAAGATGCCAAAGCAACTTCAGCTGTTCCTCCATGGTGCAGTATCTGAAATCTGCTTATCAGAGTTAAATTTCAGATGGAATTAGCATCTTCAGTTTTATACCCAAGTCGACCTCCCTTCCGGCACTAAGTCCTCAAAGGGCCTCCTTAGGTGAATGCTTAAGCTCGGTGCCTGATACTTTCTGAAATTCTGATTTCAGACATGCAGATCCTGAAATCACTTTGAGGTTCTGATGGCTCGCCTGCAGATCCGCATCCCAATTTTTTGGATGAAAGCTGTGGGTCTTTTATTTCACCTGCTGGTTTGAGACTGGTCTAGACGTTATATCAGTGAGAAGGCTAGTTAATGACTAAGAGAATGAGCTCTTCCTACAAGCAGTGACTCACTGGGACCCCAGGTGGTCCTCAGAGAAGTACTCTCACCAGCTTGCCTTTGCATTTATGTTCTAACTACAGTTGGATGAATTGGGATGTTTGCAATGCTAGGCTGATATCCCTTTATGCCTTCTCTGTCCAAATACCTTCCTAAATAACACCAAATGCCCTTAAAAATCCTCAGAATCAGCTAATGACCCTGACTCTGGACCAGGAAATCTCTTGCACAGGGAGCCTCAGTCTTGCTCTTAACAGGGCAGGTCTTGCTGTGCAGCCCCTGAGAAGTAGATCCACAATAAGAAAGCAATACCATGTGGCACCCCAGTGAAGGGCTCCAGCCAAGCAGACTGCAGAGGTCTAAGGCCATCAGACTCACTGATGCTTGGGGTTAGGAGCCCTGAGGGAAGAGCCAAGGCTTGTTCTATGATATATTATGGATTCTCTACTCAAAATTGTATTTATTTCATTTTGTGATTTAAACTTGGGAAACTTTCAGTCCAGCTATATAAGAATATGCATAGATGCAACTTAGCTTTTTATTTAACAACATTTCTGGCCCCACACATGCCCATGTGGGTGCACCCTCCACACTCAGCTGAGCAGGATTGGCTCTCGATGGTTCCGTACCCCCCGCACCAGCTGTTTGTTCTCTTATGGCCACGTGTTGTACAGCATACTTGGAGGGTTCCGCATAAAGAAAATTACCTTTCACCTGATCACCTTGTTCCATTGTAGCTGAATCTCCTTGTCCGCCAACCTTGAGTCCAGGCACCGTAGGTACGGATGCTCAGTGTCAGCGTAATCCTCTGGCACTTGTTTCCCCAAAAGGAAAGCCCCTGCTTCCTCTCAGTGTCTTTTGGGTAAGATCTGCCCCATGCAGGGTCTGTGTACCTGCAGCAACTATATATTACCTGGCCTGTCCAGCTCTTCAATCAGCAGGCCAGCAGTCCTCGCCATGCCCATAGGAAAGCCGTGGAATCAGGCATCCCCTCCTCAGCTGGCTCATGGGCCCTCTCCTGCCAACACATCTGTAGTACCCACTCCATGGAGGACTCTCATGAAGATTAAGTAAGATCACCTATAAAACATTTCAAACAGGATTAGGCACAGAATGAGCATTCATTAAAAGTGAATCATTATGCTAAATAATATCAGCTACGTGCTAACTCATGGGAGACTTTTTTTCTGGGTGCCAGATGTGAGCTGGAAGCTTGGGATTAGCTTTTGTTTAGATTAGTGTGTGTCCAGAAAAGCACATACTAGCTCTGAAAAAAAAAGCCTGGCGTCGAGCATTTATCCATGAGGCAAATTCCAGCTTGCCTCTCCTCCTTTCTTCAATGTGTCTAACGCTGCAAACCTCTGTTTCAGGCGACCTGGGCGTCCACAGTGGGGAAGAACTCCAGCTCACCACCACCATCACTCATGTGCACGGACCCACCGAGATCTACAAGCTGACCCGCAAGGAGGCTCAGGAGTAGCAGGCAGCGGCGCCGGCTGGGCCTGCCTGGGGGCACCCAGCGCCTCACCTGAGAGCAGGGCGCAGGGCAGGAAGAGCTCTGTGGACAGCCCAGCAGCACTCAGGTCTCCTTTCTGTGCTTTTCTGGACCAGCGGTGGCCTGAACATGGGTCAGCTTAGCCTCTGAATGGAGCTTTTGGAGGAAGATTCCTGTGCAGCCACTGATACATTGTGCATACCAGAAGTTCTGAAACAACACCTTTTCTGTGTTCATTGTTAACTAGTGACATAGTAACATCGGTAGCAGGCTAAAGATAGCAAACCTCATTTGTCTGGGGGTGTACTACTTGGGGAATGGTTTGGGCCAATGGGTCTATATCAAGTGGAATTTTTTTTTCTGGTTTAGATGCTAGAATAGATTTTAACATTCTTTGAAGTCCAATGTAGGCTGGTATCTCTAACTCCAAGTCCACAACCACTCCTTTTTTTCCTATTTATATCACCAAGTAGCCCGAGGAGTTAATATTTAAGTTGCTGGTCTGTGTCCCTATTTTTTTTTATGTTATAACCTAGAATAACTGAATTTCATGAAAAGGTCAATTTCACAGGGGCATTTCTGCTTTGAAACCAAATCTGTATAGCCAGTACTAACAGTCTGCTGAATGTGGGTTTTAAGAAATGTTTGCTGAACTACTAAAGTAGTTATTAAATGGCCTTTGGGCCTAAAAAAGCTTTTTATAACCTCTTGCTTCAAATGTGTTTTCTTTTGATAAGATGCTTCAAACAGCCTCCCTACGTGTAGATCTAATCATTTAAATAAACATGTAACCCCTCTTCCTGTTCAAACCCACACACCTGTATGCAGAGTCTTCTCTGTTGGCCATTAGGATAGGGAGTCAGACCGAGGAAAAAGCCTTAAGAAAAAATTACAATACTTTGCCTTGAAATCAAAGTGTTTGAGGGCAGTGTCTATTTCCATAATAAGGCCAGGCATTCCGTGCTGGGCAGTTAGCCTCCCTTGGCTGGCATGGAAAGCCCAAATGTGTAGCAGCAAGAGTAAAAACAAGGTCATAGACTTTTTTTTTAAATTTTTAACAGATTTATTTATCTTAATTGGAAAAGCAAATATACAGAGAGAAGGAGAGACAGAGAGAAAGATCTTCCATGCACTAACTCACTCCTCAAACAGTCGCAATGGTGGGAGCTGTGACCACTGAGGAGCTGTTTCTCCGGGTCTCCCATGCAGGTGCAGGGTCCCAAGGCTTTGGGCCGTCATGCACTGCTTTCTCAGGCCACATGCAGGGAGCTGGATGGGAAGTGGAGCAGCTGGGACACAAACTGGAGCTCATATTTGATCCTGATGCATGCAAGGCGAAGACTTTAGCCACTAGGTGCCGCACTGAGTCCGAAGTCCTAGACCAGATACATGACTGACTTCCACTCCCTGAATTATCCTATTTCATGGTTTTCTGGTACTGTCACTGGAGAAGCAACGTGGCACAGCAGGAATCATGCTGGAACTTGAGGCTGGAAGGCAGAGCTTCTTGTCAGATGTCTGTCCTTTTGCTATTGGCTTGATGTTGTTCCAGCCATGTGTGCTGACTATTCCCCCATGTGCAAACTGTCATTCATAAATGTTCACTGCTTTTCTGGTCACAGTAAGATTTAGGTCGGTTCATGTATATGAAAATGCCATTTGACACCCATCTGACACCATACCTATCCCCCTTCCTTTCTTTTTCCTAATTTTACCCCAAACTGTGGTAAATAGTGACAATAGGATATACATTGATTTTGACTGCTTTCTTAACCTGAAGAACACTGGGTGGTATATGACCCTTAACACTCAACATCCATTTTATTGACTAGTCACTACGCTGCCAGCAATCACATACAGCCCGAGCTTCCAAGTCTAGCAGGGAAAATGAACTCCATGAACTGCAAGTGCTCTCCCATCAGGCCTCTGGGATAGGGAAGGGGCAGAGATGTGCTTTAAAGAATTAACATTCTCCCAGGGTCAAAGGGCAAAGATCTGCAGGACTCAACTCAAAGAAAAAGTGAAGCATTAGGAGTGCTGGCCAAGGGTGGTCGTCATGCATGGTTGCTGGTGGCAAGAACAGATGTTGAGCCCCATGCACCTTCAAGTCGGGACGAGAGGGGATTTAATTCCATTGTAGGACTCACAAAACATTACTTCGGGTTTTATGCAGAGAAGTAACGTGACTGAAGTTAGCACTAGGTAAACCCTGCAAAGCGATCATGAAGGCCAGAATCAGGAGATTGATAGGGGAAATGGTTAGGAAGGACATGCTTGGAAGACAAAACAGACAAGGTGGGGATTCTGAATACAGGTGTCACAGAAAACAAGAGGAGAATCAAATTCTAAGCTCTTGCTGGTTGAGGGATGGCAGAGTCCCTGAGAAAGATGGAGATTTCTGGATGATACATTTCTAACTCTAGAAAGCTCAAAGGAAATAATTTCTAGAACTTTTCTAGAGTGATTTTTATCTTAATGAAAGAGCTGAATCAACCAGATCGGAACAAGGAGAACTCTAAGGGACCGCGGTAATAGGAATTCACAGACCTTCCCTGAGAGCAGCATGTGTACAACCAGCCCAGGCTTGGTGGATCTGCTCTTCAGAACCAGAGTCCGTGTCCAGGTGGATAGGTCTCTCACAAATTCCTGTACCTGTGTTAGCTGTGACCAAGGAATAAGGCTAAATGCCTGCCAGGAGCTCACCCTGTGGGTTGAAGTTGCTTTCCAAAGTAGAGAATTCAGTTTGAGTTAAGCAAACAATGGGAAAACATATAGCCCCATGTTCATGATAGTGAGTTTGGATGTGCCTGAGTGCATTTCTGAAGCCATCTTGTAAAGGAAATGGCAAGCTAGTAGTTAAGGGATCCACCTGGAATAGGAGAGTTGGTCTCCATCATCACTGAGAATAGGAGGAACCACTGAGGCAGTCTCAAGAAAGATAACCAGAAATTGTAATGAGACAGGCATGGCCACATTAAACAGGAGAGAGGAGTAAAAGGAGGTATCAAATAGTAATGTCTGGGTCGGGGAAGAAAAAAGATATCCTGAGAGCCTCGGCAGCGAGGAAGGTTGGACTGAAGCCTGTTGGCTTTAGCAGGCTGATGAACAAGAAGCAGAGCAAAGTCAATGGATGGTGGAAATGGAAACGAAACAAGTGGCATGGCTGTGCCAAGAGGAACCTGGCTAATTTCCGGGCATGGCCTAGCGGCTAAAGTCCTCACCTTGAATGAGCCAGTATCCCATATGGGCACCAGTTCTAATCCCAGCAGCTCCACTTCCCATGTAGCTCGCTGCCTGTGGCCTGGGAAAGCAGTTGAGGACAGCCAAAAGCCTTGCGACCCTGCACCCGTGTGGGAGACCTGGAAGAAGTTCCTGGTACCTGGCTGTGGATCGGCATAGCATCGGCCGTTGTGCTCACTTGGGGAGTGAATCGGACAGAAGATCTTCCTCTCTGTCTCTCCTCCTCTCTATATCTGACTTTACAATAAATAAATAAATCTCTTAAAAAAAAAAAAAGAAAGAAAGAAAGGTTTGCACTTTCTAGTCAGGGAGAAGACTGCACTGAGTTTCGAAACCTGAAAGCGAGATCCAACTTTAAGGTTTGGAACCAGGAACACATGGATGAGTTACCTCTGAAGGAGGGAACTGTCCGTGAGATAGGAGAGAAACAGCAGGTGCACAGGGGAGGGGTGGTTACAGTGTGTCCTGTGGGTGCCCTTGTCTCCTCCGCAAGCAGAAAACGAGTGTTGAGCTACTTATTAGTAACTGAGGAGTTCTGCGGACACGAGCTGCAGGTTGCTCACAAGCAAGTCAGTGGGTGGACAGTCGAGTGCACATGTCTTGTGAAGTTGCTTGTGTGGATGGCCCTCCACCTGGAGGGAGAACTGACTGTGGATAGCAGTTTTGCACATCTTCCTAAGTAAGAATTCTTCATGTACCTTTAAAGGATGTTATAGAAAAGCATTAAGTGCTGCGATGCTCAGCTTCTTTAAAAATAAAATTTACCAACATGTTCAATAAGAAGGAAAATAGCCACTGCTATTTCAAATAGAAAACAAAATCTGATTGATTGTGGTTACCCCATGGGTGGCATCATAGTTATTTTCCCCTTAAAACTGCTGAATAGATCAGTGGTTTCATATGTGGACCCAGGTGCTTTCCATCATTTCTTAGAACTGAGATAAACCACCCTAATAGTGGTTGAGTCTGGTTCATACTGTCAGAGCTCGGGAGAGCTCGGGATTCCCAGCCCTGGGGCTGAAGCACCAGAGGCAGATGGGTGGGCTTCACCTGTGTCAGCACGGGCATCCTCACCTTGGCAATCCTAAAAGCTGTTTGATCTCTTTCCCATTGGACCAGGCTCTCAAGGGCTGGCTGAGATGCTGGGGGATCTACAATTCAGCTCTGTATTTTTCACCAGGCATTTTTTTTTTCTTCCCTGAAACATGGTCAGGAAACCATGAAGGCTGAAAGATAAAACAGGAGGTTTTTTGTTGTTGTTGTTTGCTTATTTTTGGTGGACAAGAAGGAAACCCACAGAAAAATAGGTGCCCTAGAAAGAGATAACATTGCAAACATGATAGACTGCACACACCCATATACCAGAGTAATTATCCCTGTGTCTTCAAGGCAAATCCACGCAGCTCCCTACACAGGGCTGGGGTGGTGTGGCTCTCAGCCAGTCAGGGCTGTGGGGTCAGCTAGCAGACACACTTCACCAGTCCCAGCTGCCTCTGACTGGCGGAAGTCAAGCTGCAAGACCCTCTTCCTGGTTCCAGCCGACTGCTGCTGATACTCAACAGCACAGCATAGTTAACGGAGCTGACTGAGCAAAGCCTCTGGCTCATTCTGACTTTGATTAGAGCCTAATCAAAGTCAGACCAAGAGTCTAATCAAAGCCTGGGGTCTTGTTCATGCTGTCCTGCTCCAGGAACCCTCTCAAAGGCTGCAGACCAGTTCTCACCATCACCGAGCTTTACTACGTACTTGATTCTGTGATGCTGGAATGACTTTCTGAGACGACCTCCAGAGCCACTTTGATGGCCTCTCCCGTCAAAGGGTCCTCCGGGGGCATCTCATGGGAGGAGTTTCTGGTCCCTAAGGAGGACTCACAGAAGCCCTTGGGGTGGAGGCTAGACTTTCCCCTTGAGCCTGGGATGCTGTATTGACAATCTCCTTCTTGGCTAGCTTGTCCCACCCAGTTCTCTTTCCCCTTGAGCCTCTAGTTTGCCCAAGCCTGCTCTAAGGCATAGCTTCAGGAAAGCTCCCCCGTTCTGCTTCCCTGTCCACTGCATCCTTATTGCTCACCATGCTAAGGTGTGATGCTCAGACTGCAATGTCATTCTGATGGGCAGAGAGGAATGTGAAAGTAGAACTTCCTGGCCAAGGCTTGGAATGCTAAGGAAATGGCACAGGATTTGTAAAAATATCCACATCTCCTTACCATCATATAGCCACTAAAACAGTGTTTTAAATTTATTACTGTAAATATCTTCCTCTGCATTTGGAAATGCATTGATTCAATCATGGGATTTTACATACTTCCCTGATACATATAATTTTCTCACACACAACAGGTAAAGTACATGTTTAGCTTTGAAAAGAAGCACAGACGAAATCGGGCACAATCAGGGTGGTACAGCCATACACAAAAATACTAATAAAATAAAACAAACACAGCTTGAGACATATGTAAAAGTAG